TGAATAGAATGATTTTTTCTAATGGTGTTTGTAAGTAGGATCACAAGTCTGCATCTTGTACAGCAATTAACCACTGAGAAGAATATATGCAGTGTATTATTTGTTGAAACTGTACTTTCGATTTGATTTGAAACTGTCTCATTGCTATATGTTTGTCAATAAAACTTTGAAAAGAAAAAAAAATAAAAAAATAAAAAATGGAAATTAATTCAATCAAAAAGATAAAATGATACGTTGAATTAAGCAAAAAAAAAAGAAAATGTTCTGTCTTTTTTTTTTGAAAACCAGCTCACATTTAATTGTGACATTTTAAAATTGTACAAGTGTTTTGACATCTGCCCTCCCTCCCCGTATTGTCTCTTAAAAATGACAGAAAACATCACCACTCACAGGTGTAATGGGTTTAGTAAGTATATCCCTTCAGTTCCTATTTGCAGCACCCAGTATGCCTCTGAACTACCAGTGAGACACGGCAGTGGCGAACAGTAAGTTTCCACCCTTCAGAGCTGAACAGTTCAGGTTCTCTCAGCATTCTCTGCTGTGGTGGCACTTGTCCAGAGTCGGCACCTTCCCACAGCTGGGGAGCTTTAAATGTCCCAGTGAAAGAAAAGCATTTTCCCCTTCAAGGGGAAGAAAGAAAATTATTCCTCAAAACCTAGCTGATCTGGCTGCGAAGTCTTTCCTCTGTCCTATCTCTCCTGGCTCTTTTTTATTCTTATTTTCATTTTCTTTTTCTTTTTCTTTTTTTGCAGTAGAGCAAAAGAGACCAAAACCTAACCTGAGTTACAAGAAACAAGACAGTGATGGCTATGAAGGGAGTGAGCAGGCGCAGCTGAGGCCGGCACGCCTTCCTCACCCACATCCAATGCATGTGCTTCACAGAAAAACAAAAATAACAAATCCACAAAATACAACGGCTAGAATTACAAAACTCATTCATCCAAGGGGGCTGGAAAGCAGAAAGGACAGACGGGAGGGTAAATGGCACAGGGGGGAAAACAAAGTATGCAAATCAGTCCAGGCACAGGGGCTGGCAAATGCTAGAAACAGCTATAGAAAAACCTGTGGTTCATTCAGATTCATGATGGTGTTAAAAATCCACACACTGGTGTCAGGAAGATTCTGCCTTACTTGCACTCGAGACAACCAAAGTTCCAACTCTTAGGAGGGAATACGCAAAGGACCCTTGGCAGAATGGGCCCCTCCTTCCCTGGCCAGGGAAGAACAGAGGAAAGAGCTGCCAGCCTCCTCTGATCCCACCCATCACTCTGGACAGCAGCGACTCAGGGACTTGCAGCAGCCTTCAGTTTGGCAGGAGAGGGACGTGGTGAGGGGAACTTCTCTGCAGAGGTGGAGCTGCTCAGCGAAGACTGCCGGTAGACTGTCTTATGGAAGAGTCTGTTGCTTAAAAAGACCACCAAGGAGAAAAGGCGCAACTGGAAAAGGTATGCTTTTCCAGGGGTCTTTGCTTCATTGGCGCTGATGATGAATAAAGGAAAGAGGATCGAGAAGAGGCAGCCACTGATAATATATGAAGACTGCATTGCTGTGAGGAAAGCCAAGGGCAGACCAAATCCAAAGTAGTAAGGCCAGTTCCTTTCTATGTCGGATAAGCGCTGATGCATTTCAATTCCTTTATTGAACCAACTATACTCGAAGCAGTACAGCGAGTAGAGAAGGGACATATGCAGCAGACTGACGAGCTGACCAACAAGGTGGATGGGAAAGAGACTCACAAACATTCCCTGGATGAGGAAGAGCTCCTGCAGCAGAAGGTTGAAGAGCATGTCGGCAATTATCTTGCTAACGCTGGGGAATGGCTGTGGCTTCCGCCCTGACACCTCGAATGCCAGGTCAGCTATGTCTTGAAACCAAATGGCATTCACAATTTTGCTAAGCACGAACAGGGGGAGCACCCAAAGAGCACTGAAAACTGATGTGAGGAAGAATTCCAGCCAAGACCAAATATCTCCATGCAAGGACGGATCACCAATAATCCGGGCTGTTACTGACTGAAGCACAGGAATAAATACTCGATAAAACAAAAGGAGACTTAACCAGAATACTCCACCATTCCAAGCACAGCAGTGGAAAATTCTTCTAACAATGCATGACTTGCTGTCTTGCTTCTTCTGCTCTATACTCTGGGTTCTCCTCTGAGCCAGGACACTACCAGGCCTTCTTCGGCGCTGCTCCTCTCTCTTTTGCTGGATCCAAGCATCTATCTTGGAGATGGTACAAATGCCCCAGATGGAGTCTTTGATTCCCCTGCCGAGGTCCTGAAGAAAAGTTTTGACGCTGTCTGCCATCTCTTTACCACCCAGATGTCTTATCAGCTACACAGCGAGAGAAGTATTCCCAATCACTCATCATGAAGGACGCCCAGCGCCCTCGCCCACCAGGGCTCGGTGGGCTCCTCCGCCCGGCAGCCCGCTCCGGGGGCGCTCTAAAAATGTTCTGTCTTATACCTAAGGTATTAGATATTCAGACAGATAGTGAGGTTAAACTGAACTGCATATGTTGTGGGGCGATAATAAGCTTCTCTTCTGGAGGGTTAACAACCTAAGTTTGCAGACCAAAAATTAGAGATAAAGAAGGGCTACAAGGACAGCCAACATTTTGGCTCTAGCCTTTCAAGGTCAGTGAGGATTGAGGACATAGGAGAAGCAGTACTGTAACACCATGTAACTCAGTTGTGCCCAAAATTTTCTGATCAAGGAGATTATGGAGCCACAGAGGAATGTGATTGATGATGTATTATGTGCCTAAATAGAGTCACATGGACAGAAAACATTCTCCCAGGCTTTCACAGAGAGCAAATAGGTCAAGCAAATGCTGTGACTCATCCACATGGCTGACACTGACAAAGGATCTACAAAGTGGGGTAGAGGGTTTCGAGATAAGTCATGAGTGGACTTGAGTGACCATGTCAGATACAAAAGTTACATTCTTTGCTATATAGGTCTTGCTTTATCTTGGTCTTAACCATCCAGCAGAAAAGTGTAGAAACGAGGTATGAAAAGTGAAACCATGTTGATGTGCTGAGCTATGGAAGGCTCATGTCATCAGATTCGGACATTGGCAGTCCCGTGGATAACCCCACTACTATTATGTAGTACTGGACTATATTGGAATATTTTGCTGAATTCATGCACCTACAATATTTGGATGACAATGGAATACCCATCTCTAACAAAACTGAACAAAAAAAGGTGATATAAATGAAGGACAATTTTGTATGTGTAAATACAAAATAGTTAGGATTGATATATAGCTACTTTCTCTTAATTCAATAAGAAGAGCAATCTGTACTACTAGTGTTTAGAAGAGATATCATATCTTCATCTTCTGCTATGAATGACTATTACAAAGACAACAGTATGCAATGTATTAATTGTTGTTACTCTCCTACCAACCTGTTTTGAAGGTGTCACATTGCAATTTTTTTCTCAATAAAATTAATAAAAATCAAATAAAATTGTAGACCACTGGACAATCTCACCAAAAAGAGAAAAGAAAATGCATAAATTCCAACATTTAGAAATGAAAAGTTGGAAGTAAAAATGGATCCTACAACAATCCAAGATGTCATCAATACCTACTATTAGAACCTATATTCTAATAAGGTGGAAAACACAGAAGAATGGACAGATTCCTAGAGGTAATCCAATTGCCAAAACTAAACCAAGAAGATAAAAATTCTAAATAACTCAATGTTAGCCAATATCTGTGTATTCAAAATGGTTAGGATAGATATATAGTTACATCCTCTTAATGAATAGAGGGATTTGTTCTAATAGTGTTTGTAAATAGGATATCATGTCCGCATCTTATACAGCAATTAACCACTAGGAAGAATGTATGCAATGTATTAATTATTGAAACTGTCCTACCAATTTAGTTTGAAACTGTCTCATTGCTATTTGTTTCTCAATAAAATTATGGAAAAAAAGAAATTGAAAATGTAATAAAAAATTTACCAACAAAGAAAATCTAGGCCCTAACAAATTAACTTCTGAGTTCTACAAGAAATTTAAAGAACTAATGTCACTAATGCTGAAATTATTTAAAGAAACTGAAAGGAAAACAGTACTTTCCTTTACAAAATTACAAAAGTGATAAAACCATTCTAATGAACAATAATTGCTCTTATTATAAAACTAGAGAAGAACACAACCAACAAATGAAAACTATAGGCCAATCTTCATAATGTACATAGATGAAAAATTCTTCATAAGACACTGGCATACAGAATGCAGCAAATCATCAAGATTATAAATCATGACCAAGTAGGATTCATCCTAAGAATGTAGGAATGGTTCAACATATGCAAATCAATATATGTAATACACCTTATTAGCAGAACCAAGGAAATAAAATCACATGATCATCTCATCTCAATAGATGTAGAAAAAGTATTTAACAAAGTGTAGCACCCATTCATGATAAAAATACCTACAGAAAATTGGAATAGATGGCCTTTACCTCAATCTCATAAAAGTCATCTATAAAAACCCAGCACCTAACTGTATTAAATGGTCAAAACCAGAAAGCTTTCAGTCTAAAATCAGGAACAAGACAAGGATGTTATTATCATCACTTCTATTCAATGTATTTCTAGAAACATTATATTCAGAGAAATTAAACAAGAGAAAAAAATGATAAGGAAAGAAGAAGTTCAATTATCATTTGAGGATGACATGAAATTCTACATAGAAGACTAAAAAGACCCAATCAAAAACTGGGGATCTAAGAAGATTATACACTTCTGAGATGAAGAAATGCAAATGGAAAATAAATAAACAAAAATGCTAAACATCGCTGGTCATTCAGGAGATGCAAATAAAAACAACACTGAGATTTTATCTCACTCCAGAAAGAATGGCTATCCTCAAGAATGCAATAATAACAAATGCTGGAGTGGCTGTCATGAAAAACAAACTCTTCTGCATGGTTGGAGGCAACCAGGTGGAAATTAGGATGAAGATTTTGTAAAAAAACAAAATTAGAAGCCCCATTCAACCCAGCTTGTCTCATTTTGGTTACTTTTCCAAAAGAATTAAAACCATCATGGTGACATATATTCACCCATGGTTATAGAAGCACAATTTGTTAATAACTAAATCTTGGAAACAATCCAAATGTCCATTAACTAGGGAATGGATATAAAAGATGTGTATGGGTCCAGGGAGATGGCTCAGTGGAATAAACACTTACTTCCCTGGCAAGCACAAGGGCCTGAGTTCGATCCCCGGTTCCGCCAAAAAAAAAAAGATAAAAGATGTGTATTTTGAATATATATATTGGAGTACTATTCAGCCGTAAAGAAGGATAAACTTGAGATTTTATGGGTAAACAGGTGCAACTTTTTTTTTGGGCAGAACTGGGGATTGAACTCAGAACCTCATGCTTGTTGTCTTAATAATATGGATAATTGAACAAGTCATTATGATCCAATTGTGAATTTGGAAGAGATAGTTATACAGCTAGTTTTACTTAGTTAATTGAAAAGAAAGTATTGTGCTTACGGTGTTTAAGCAGGATATCATGCCTATATCTTGTACTTCAAATAATTATTATGCAGACATCAATATACAGTGTATTAGTTTTTGGACCTTTCCTACTAACTTGTTTTGAAACTCTGTTTTATTGTTCTTTTTATTTTTCTTTTCAAATTTATAGATAGATAGATAGATAGATAGATAGATAGATAGATAGATAGATACCCATTTTTACCCTCATGGACACACAAACTTTAAAAAGATACAGACACCTGCAGGTACAGGCCTACCTCTTGCAGTATGCTTGTAATACAAGCGTTTCTCACCCAATCTGGCAATTATCAATGCCAATACACAAAGATCAGAAGTACATAGGCATTTTGCTCCACTACCAATTTGGAGGGACACTGTCTTTCTAGGGAGGCACGTCTCATCTCCGATTGGTGCTATCAGAGGCAGACATGCTTTCAGCTGCACCCAGCACTGACCTTCGCTGAGTCCTTTCCTACCTACCCATGTCTGTAGAACTCCCAGCTGCCATTGATCCATCATGCAGCATTACCCAGATTCTGCATTTCAAACTGGGGAATTTCGATCAAGTGAAGACCTGCCCTGAAAAAGGGCAGAGAGCCCTGGGAACTTGAAGCAGGACAGGAAGTTCCGGCCTATTTAAGAAAGACTCTGGGCTCAAGGGCTTAGGCCGCCGACATAATAATAGTAATACAATGAGAGGAGTGGAGCAGAGAATCTCTCCAAGAATTGATCTTTCATCTTCTGATTCCAAAGATCAGATGGCAATCTCATGTGCATCGAATGGTAGCTCTGTGGTTTTATATCAAAGTTCTCTAACCTCCTCAGAGATCTGCAGAAGCAATGTCTCAGCGCTTTTAATCCACGTCTTCCCATTAAGTGCATTCCCCCGCCCTCAGGCCCAGAAAGCACCACTGTAGACCAGCGTCTGCCACAGCATGCACACAGCAAGATGCAAAGGCGTGCTCCGTGAGCCAAAGGGCTCGTGTCAGATAGGGTTGAAAGAGGCTGATTTATTCACTGCTCGATTTCTCGGCACTTTTAAGACACCAGCGTAGCCTGTGAATGTGTGTGAAAAGACCCAAGAGTGCAGCATCTCCTGAACATTATTCATCAGAGGAATCTCCTTACTTTGTCAAACATCTTCTAGACAGTTGATCAGAGTACATATGCGGAAATACACAGACAAATAACAGGTTAGATGCAAGCTGTGAGGAACTCATGCTTTCTATAATGCCCACACATTAAACTTTTAGACAAAATTATAGCACTCTATGTAATTATCCCTCACTTGTATGAAAAACCACAACCAATGTCTTCTGTTTCTAAATCCGCAGAAGTCTGACCTGTTTTGTACATATTTATTGGATTGTTCTAAAATGTCTAATGAAATTTTCTGAGTTACAATCTTCATTCCATTATTCACACTAAAAATTAATCACATGCTAAAACAAAATAAAACAAAAACAAAAAAGATACAAACACACACATATTTGTGCATTTATGCACATATCCTCACAGCTAATATTTTTCTTTCCCACACAGACTATGAGGTAGGGGAAGCAATTCTCAGACAAACAATATTTTAGCTGAAAAAAATCTGGCCTGCCTAATATTTGGGCTTCCGGAAGCATCAGAAAAATGTGATATTATAGTAAGTAAAGCCACATTTAGGGCTGAGAAAACATAACTATAAAAATTAGAAAAATGTCCATATGCTTTAGTTTTGGGCTCCCTAGAAGTAACACCTGAGATGAACATTTGAAAGCAGTTAGTTCATTTGGAAGGAAAAAAAAGAAATCAATGGGAAAGGGAAGCAGGTAATAAAGAGTATATGTGTGATCAATTTTACTCTGTAAGCAAATAGAGTTTAAGCCCTCCAAAATAATCTGGGAATCATCATATGATATA